GTTAAGCTTATCTAAAGTACAACTGATAATGTAGGTCTACCAGACGGGTAACGGTCGCCGAACATACATAAATTTTAACCCCTCCAGAATTGCATTTCATTGAATATTGTTGCTATATATGGTCGGGTGCCCCCACTATTCATAGCGAGGTTCTCCACAAAATCCAAACAGATATTCAATGTGATAGTTCCTGACGTGGCATCTTGACTACAGCCACTTTGTCACAGACCTGATGTGGCTTCCCTCTGTCTTTTCATGGCAACTGCTCTGACGAGCTACCTTCACTGGTAACTGCATGAATTTAACAATTGGAGAAGATTAACATAAATTGGAGAAAGGGATAAAATATTGCTAATTCTTTATTTATGTATTGTATTTATAGATTTTAAACGGCATAAATAATGACTGACGTTCTGCTGTTCATATAACAACATAAAGAAAGAATCTAGACTTCAGGAAGGAAGGCGAAAGTATCTTACCTTTACTATTAAGGTTAACCAAGGGTAACATAACAATGTAATCCGAACAGGTACCCACCCAGAAAAGATTTACTTATATAAAGTTTCTTTTCACGCATTTCTTTCTTGTGGAATTCCTTTCTGACTTCATGGTTTCCAGCCAACGTTAATCTGCTAAAATTTAAATACAATGTCAATCGCGATCTATTGTTCTCCAGATTAATCTATTCTCTTCTCGCTCATTATTAATGTTTCTGTTCTTAATTTTTCCACAGCCTGTAACCACTTGTGTTTTAGTGGCTTTGCTGCCTTGCTTAGGGTGAAAGCGATTAAAACAAATATAGTGCAACTAGTCACCCATAATGCATGATTATTAACCTCTTAAAAAAAATTACCTGTAGATAGTGCACACACACTTTTTTTTTTTTGCATAAAAACTAATCAGAAAACACGCCATATACACAAGTACATACCGTAATCGAATGGAATTGTGATAACATACCTAATTTAATAATTCCCAGGAAGATTTATAATGATTAAATTTAACATTTTCGTGTTTTTAAGATCGAAAGGATTCTTTTTGTGTGTGTGTGTGTGTGTGTGTGTGTGTGTGTGTGTGTGTGTGTGTGTGTGTGTGTGTGTGTGTATTTATCTTATGCAGTGTTACATTAGAACTACAAAATATCCACTACAAAAACGTACATTTTTGTTTCAACGTCAAAAAAAGGGAAAACTTTTTTTTAGACGTCTCATCAGGTGGGGAATTACGGTGTTACTAAAAAAAAAATTACTAACACGATAATTCCCCAGTTGATGAGACGATTAAAAAAGGTTTTCACAAATTTTTTTGACGTTAAAAACAAAATGTACAATTTTGTAGTGTATATGTGCATGTAACACTGCATAAGATAAATAAATATTTACGGCTCTACTTTATGTATTGAGCACTATTTTTAAGTTAATGTTTTGAACGCTGTAATCCTACTGTTCGTTCGCCTACACTTTGATATATATATATATATATATATATATATATATATATATATAATGTCTCATAAAATAGTTTAAAAAAATTGTGTCTACTTATTTTTAATAGGATCCTCTCTTAATTAAGGACAAGTTTCTTAGTATCCTTATTAAAGAAAGAAAGAAAATTACCATATTGATGCATATTCATTTTATGTCGAGAACTTTCAAAATCAGCACAATGTCCTCATCAGGGTGTTTTTTTTTAAACCAAATTGTTGTGTTCCCCTGAAAAGTAATTTTTTACGTGTCTTAATGAAAACATGCTGTCAAAATATATATATATATATATATATATATATATATATATATATATATATATATAATGCTTTTCAAGTGGCTGCTTTGGGAAATAACAACAATACGATTTCTCATTTAGCTGTCTGTCTTCTTTCGGCTTCTTTGAGGTGGACTGCTAACTCTCAGGCCATGGAAAGAGAACCCTTGCATTCACTGACTAAGCGACTGCTGATTTCTCACTGCTCGCTGGTCCCTTCCTCCTATCTGACTGTCAGTCCCTTCCTTACTGACTGCTGGTTACTTAATTACTGACTGCTTCTGATTGACAACTTATATAAACACCGGCTGAGGTCTCACCACCCCTATCCGTCAACTCGTGTTCCGGAAATGAGAACAACCAAAAGCTGGATGGGTGGTCAAATTTTCAAAGGACTCTACTTTTATGATTATCGAAAACCATCTACGAAATTTTATGCCTGCTAATTCAAAGGTGGACTGGAATCCAGAAAACTCTGGTAATAAATCGACTTAAAAAATGAACTTGAGATTCATAAGGAACTCTGATAATCAAGTTGACTTAAAAGGAAAAGGGATCTATTTACTTATCTCCTAAGGATATGCGAGAAATTGTATTGTTAAAATATAGTTGAATGATCGTTAATATTTGCAGTGGTCAAAATTTGTTCCCAAGCAAGACTGAATTGAATGCTTATTTTAAGAGCAAGATATGTCGACAAAGAATTATGGAGCAACAGCCTCCAATACGAAACTATTATCTTTTAATCGTTGTAGAGAACCATTTTTTCTCAGTCATCATGGCTGATGCTAACCTCCAGGAAAGCTATTCTTTGCGCCTTCTTTATCTCACGTTTCCACTGACTTGAAGTGGAGCGATTATATTGAATCAATTGCTAGATCTGCTGCCAAGAAAACTGTTTTAGTGTATCGTGACAGAAAAACTTTCCGGTCAGAATTCATCTTGCACATTTATAAATCTACCGTTCGTCTGTTTGTCAGTGTTTTGATTATTGCTGTCATATATGGTCTAGTGATTCGGCAAGATATCTGTAGATACTCGATAAAATCCAAAGAAGAGTCTGTAATGTTATCAGTCCTGACCTGGCATCTCGTCTTCAGTCACTTTCTCACCATTTTCTTGCGTCTTTTCTATAAATATTATCACAGCAGTTGTTCTAATGAGCTTCCCTTCTTGATACCACGACGGCGTGATTTTAGGCGTACTACTGGATCGGCTACTAGGTCTCCGTTTTTAACTATTGAAATAGCTACGTGTAACCGTGAGCTACATTCTTATAGTTTCTTTTGTCGCACTTCTCGTCTGTGGAACTCTCTTCTGATTTATTGGTTCCCTGATACCTACAATCTTCAAAAATTTAAATGCAACATCAACTGCTATCTTTTATCCTGTTCTCTTCCACGCCTAGTAACTTCTTGCGCCTTAGTGGCATTATTATCTTTCTTGGTGTGAAATGATAAAACACTGAAGTTGTTATGCATAATATACAGTAAATATACTTCAAGAACATTTCCTGGGTATGACGATAAACTACATCCGGCAGCAAGGCTTCTGACCGGGAGATTGGAGGTTTTGTGGAGGGGGAACTACCACTTAATTGCTGAGACATGGTGGTAGCACCTGTTAGGTTCCCCGCTATGGGTAAATAGTGAACAGCGAAACAGTGTGTAAATCCCTCCGCGCGCTCCCATTGCACAAGAGGGAGGGATCGGTGCTCGCACCGAGGCCAGTGCAACCAACGGTTGCGGGGGCCGAGGGGAATTTTTGTCCCTGCCCGAGTGTACGCGCTCGGGTCCCCACATTAATCTGACCTTTTGTCTCATCTCATTCTCGTGGGGAAATGATTAAACACCGTGAACAGCGAAACAAGAACAAAACATTATGAAAGTATAATAATACTTTTTATAGTAAAAATGCCAGCGATGTTTTTTTATATGAAAATTTACCAGCAACGCCGATTTATGATAAAATTACCAACAACACCTGTTGATAGTAAAATTACCAACAACACACCTATTGATCGAAAAGTTACCAATAACACTTGTTTATTGTAAAATTACCAACACCACCTGCTGATGATAAAATTACCAACAACACCTATTGAGTGTAAAATTACCAGCAGTACAATTTTATAGCAAAACCACCTGTGATTCGTTGGGTCAACCTTGTTGTTTTTACTGATTGCATTTAGTTTCATGAAGGGTTTGTGTAAGTAGAGAAATTTTAAAAATACATTTATTTGCAGTTATTGAAGTTGCTTTCAACATTAAAAAATTGCCTGTTTGAAGAATGTTGAACAATAAGAGCTTGGAATATTAAAATTCGGATTGTTGGGATTCGATATAATAACATAAAAATATTGTTGCAGAGATGCGTGTAATTCGGCCGTTTAGAATAATCAAACGATTTTCATTGAAAGAATAAAATTCAGTAGAAAAGACAACGTGGTTTCAACAAATGAACATTAATTTAATATAACGGCAAGAATACAAGCAATTGGTCATAGATTGGAAAGTAATGGCTTTTTATTTTGGGTTAATAAAATTCTGAAATAAAATATAAATTTTCTTTGTGTACATATGTGAGAAACAATGAAATTTTTTATGTGTGTTTGCGTGAAAAAGTCTATATGTGTAGTTCATAGTAAAGAGAATACAAGAGATAGAGTTTGTTTCTTACTGTGGACGGTGTTGAAGTTTGTCCGCGCTGTCGCTTTTAGTATGAGGTCCTGAAGTTCACAGGCGAGAGTGGCGTGGACCTTGATGACAGTTGTGCGTATCCTGTTTGGGGTCGGATCTCGTGTGTTTTATACACTTTCACGTAAGAAAATTGGCTCTATCCCTCACTTCCTACACGATAATAAATTTGCATCTTTCTTTTCCCAACTCTCTATAAATGACTTGTTTATATCGTTCTTTTCCCCACTCTTTATATATGACTTCTGGCAAACACACAAGATGTAAAGTTCACAGAGTTTTATATAGTAATAAGATTACCAAAAGTACATTTTATCTGTAATTGAAAGCATACAAATGCATTTAAAATATTTAAATTTCGGTATTAAATAACCCCTGGAGGTTGATATGTAGCTAAACAAAATCAACCAAAGCAATCAAGAATATTAGCATATGGCGTCACTTCCGTTTTTTTGGGGGTTTTTTTGTGTGTGTGTGTGTGTGTGTGTGTGTGTGTGTGTGCAGTAAGTTTATGTAAATATCTTCTCTTTTTTTAATTTTCAGATTTACTGGGTTGGACCATTTGTTGGGTCAGCTTTGGCAGCTCCTTTATATGAAAAGTTCTTTTCGGTAAAGGCAGGGGAAAGGATTTCCAATATAAGATACTGTCGATGTCGAAAAGCAACAGATAACGAAATAACAGTGGATGGAAACGAACGCGCCGGGACAAGACTATGAACAAGATTAAGCGACTTAAGTTTTTTTGATTTTTTTATTCTTATTTTTTTCTGATAGCATCAAAAGATTTTTTTTAAAAAAATGAGAAAAATGGATTTTGTTTCTGTCATTAAAAGAAGCAAGAAACAAACAGACAATAAATCCAAAGAATAAAATCAGAAAAATATAAGCCAGTTTTGATTTTAATGAATAAAATCCCAAATGATTTTTACTTACAAGCAATGCCCATAAAATACCATGATTTATCTATTTGAATGTTCTGATGAATCCTAATTCATAATTTAACGCTTGAAATGTTCTATCACTATAAAACACCCGTGGAATTTCTACCTTAGCATTGTTAAATATTTGAGCTTAACAACTTTAACATAATACTACAATAACAATCATGAGTATAGATACTCATTATTTAAAGAATTAAGAGAATCAAAATGAAACGATTCAAAATCGACAAGGTTTTCCAGTTCACTAAAACAGACGTTAAGCACGAGTTCCTTTCCTTTCTTTTTACTCCTAGAAAGCAAACAGCGTCTCATCTATAATTTTTTTTCCGTCTTTTATCGCAATCAAAACAGAATGGTTCATTATTTATCAAAGGTAATTGCAGGTTACAATGCGCGTGCGAACTTACGTACTAACAAGCTGAAGGATTAGATAGTTTTCTGTCCGCTAAAAACATTTATTAAAAGCCTTAATATCGCCTGCAATCCTTCAGGAGTCTAATTATTAAATCATTTTTTGTCAATAAACATACAATTAACATATTTCCGACATTCGTTTTTTTTTTAACTAACAAAAGTTTTAAATGTTCAAAGAAATTATCTGGTAAAGATGTAGACTGAAATTTGAAAAAGAATTATTAAAATATCAAACAATAAAACTCGTATTATTTCTTGACTTACCAGCTCTGACAACATTTCGGACGATCTAATCTGTTTTCGAAGCATTTGTCCTATTTCTTGGAACGCTTGGCAGATGGTGTTGTTGAATTCGTAGAGGGTGTTGATTAACTTGGTAGAGGGTGTTGATTGGCTTGTCAGAAATTGTTGATTAACTTGGCAGAGGTTGTTGATTAGCATGGTAGAAGGTGTTGATTAGCTTGGTAGAAGGTGTTGATTGGTTTTGGTAGAGGGTGTTGGTTGGCTTTAGAGAACATGTTGAATTGTCATGGTAGAGGATGTTTATTGGGTTGGCAGAGGGTGTTGATTAACTTGGCAGAGGTTGTTGATTAAGTTAGAGCGTGTTAGTTAACTTGGTAGAGGGTGTTGATTGGCTTGGTAGACGGTATTGACTCGCTTGTCAGAAGTTGTTGATTAATTTGGCAGAGGGTTTTGATTAACTTGGTATAGGGTGTTGATTGGCTTGGCAGAGTTTGTTGATTAACTTGGTAGAGTTTATTGATTAACATGGCAGAGGATGTTGATTAATTTGGTAGAGTTTATTGATTAACATGGCAGAGGGTGTTGATTAATTTGGTAGAGGTTGTTAATTAGCTTGGTAGAAGGTGTTGATTGGTTTTCGTAGAAGGTGTTGATTGGCTTTGGAGAACATGTTGATTGTCTTGGTAGAGGATGTTTATTGGCTTATCAGAGGTTATTGATTACCTTGGCAGAGGGTGTTGATTAATTTGGTAGAGTGTGTTGTTTGGCTTGTCAGAGGGTATTGATTGACTTGTCAGAGTGTGTTGATTGACTTGGCAGAGGTTGTTGATTAGCTTGGTAGAAGGTGTTGATTAGATTGGTAGGTGGGTGTTGATTGGTTTTCGTAGAGGGTGTTGATCGGCTTTGGAGAACATATTGATTGTCTTGGTAAAGGATGTTTATTGGCTTATCAGAGGTTATTGATTAACTTGGCAGAGGATGTTGATTTTCTTAAACCTCACAAATGCTTTTCCTACAATTCTCTGAAAAATATAATTTGGAAAAAAACCAAGATTAAAGCGTTGCTAACTTTTTAAAAAAAATTCAATAGCAGGTTCTTTTTATTTAAATTTCACCTAGTTTATTTCACGTCCCCACCCCGCCATTTATTTACTCCTCGAGCAGTTTGTCTCAGCTTTTTCAAACAACGGCGCACCTATGAACAAATGAAAATATCACGACGCACTTACACCTTTGGGCAAAGTAACCGAAACAACCGCTTTAGTTTCCTTTCTTTCACCATACGGCCAGTTTAGACCCACTGGAGTGACAGGGTGTAATCGATTCCTATTTTTTTCCTCAGATTAGGTCATTTGCAGTGGTGTGCAGTAATATGAATCTATTTTGGGGGTATATGATGAAATTTGTTTGGCCTTAAAAGATATTGCGTCATTCGTGATTGCATCAGATTTTTATCACGCCCAGACACTAATGTTCCGACTGTCGATTAGTTGTCCTATGGCCATTGTCTGCGATGGACATTACTCCCAGGAAGCGTACGAAAATTGTAATGCTGCACGAACACACTGGCAAGCCTTACCAGTGAGCAAATTAAAGTACTATAGAATGGCACGGAAATTCTTCTGATTTAAATCCAATTGAGAATCTGTGGTCAGTCTTCAAGGAGCGAATTCGTGGAATGGACATACGAAGTACTAAAATGTGTACCGGGTCATGTTTCATTGGCAAATTACGAAAAAAAGTAAATAATAACGGAATTATTCATTCAATTAATTTGCACAAGGATGTAGCAAAATTTCTAAACGGTATACATTTAAATGTTATGAAATAAAACGATAGATTTTTAAAAAGAAGTACACATTCAAATATGAACTTACTTTATTTTAATTTTTTTTATTCAGCTATTTGTGCGGTTTATTTAGCGGGAAAACTGTGTCTGATGATTTTTCATGATTTCTTCAATGTTTGGTGAAAAGTGCGATAAGTAGACGTTCATTTCTTCTTTGTAGACTTTGTCGCTTCTGATTTTTGAGGTTATTTAGGGTTGAGGGGTCCTAATTCCTATAAATAAGTAGAAAATTACAATAAAACTGATGAAGACTTTTTAGGTAATTTAGTATATTCTTTTTGTATTGAAATCCAAAATGTATCAAGAATAGTAAAAAGAATTATTTGAAAAAAAAAAGTTTAATACTCATTCATTTATTCAAATACTAGCGCTGTACCATTACTAATCCCCCATATATATATATATATATATATATATATATATATATATATATATATATGAAAAAAATCTTTTTATCTACTGTGGGATAAAATGTTTAATACTTATTTATTCAAATACTGATGTTGTACCATTACTACTTACACACACACACACACACACATATATATATATATATATATGAAAAATTTCTTTTAGCTAATGTGGGATAAAAAGTTTAATACTTATTCATTTCTTCAAATACTAACGTTGTACCATTACTACTTCTATACAAACCTACATACGTATGCCGTGACAACTTCAGAGGATCGCGCGGTGCACTAGTGTGACGCGACACGGCGGTTAAGAGTGAGTCTATGCTGTCTTACCTCTTTTAGGGAATTCATGTGTTAACAGCAAATAAAAGAAATACTTGGAAAATGCATTTTTTTCAAAATTTATTACTACACTTAATCATGTGCTTATTTAAAATTGGTCTTCTATTTTTGTTGTCGTTGCTCAGAAAAAATATCTAAATCCAGTTTCCTCTGTTCAGGTTTTATTAACATTCTAAAAATAGCTTCTTATTATAGCTATTAGGAAAACAAGAAATGGGGAGGGAGTTCCACAGGCGAGAAGTGCGAAACATGAAGCTATTGGAGTAGAAGAGACGGCTACATTTAGTAGTTTCGACAGTGAAAGGATGAGAGCGGGATGCCAGCCTAGTTGAACGCTTACACTCATGAAGTCTGGGAACCAGCGAAAGCAGCTCATCGGAGCAGTTACCATGAAAGTATATGTAAAAAAAAAAAAAAAATGATGGAGGCAAATGCTGCAGACGAGATGCCAGATCAGGGCCAGTTACATTGCATATCTGTCTTTGGATTTTATCAAGGACACTGAGACAATTAGAAGGGGCTCCAGACCATATATGGCAGCAATACTCCATGCAAGGGCGAATGGTTGATTTGTAGATTTGAAGGATCGACTCCGGCGAGAAAAATTTCCTGGCGCGGCATAGGAAGCCAGCTTTCCTTGCGGTGGACGAAGCTATTGACTCAATGTATTTGTTCCATCTCAGGTCCGCAGACAATGTGAGACCGAGCAGTCGGAAAGAGGTGCTCTCGTGGAGTTGAGCGCCAGACATTCTAATGGGAGGAAGGGATGATTCTCTGTAGTGAGTAATAGAGAACAGTTTTATTTTTGAGGCATTAAAGTTAACCAGCCAATTCCTGCCCCAGTCCACAACCGATTGGAGGTCCTTTTCGAGACAAATGGCCAGGTTAGTTTTGTCGGCGACACTAGATTTGTTTTTGAGGCTGGAGTAAATAGTAGTTTCGTCCGCATAGATGCCTACTTGGGAACCTATGACATCAGGAAGATCGTTAATGAAGATAAGGAACAGAGTAGGGCTTAGGATAGGGCCTTAGGGAACACCTGCGTTCGTGGGATAGGAGCTGGTGGAGAATCCGTTGAGAACGACCTTCAATGCACGGTTTGACAGGAATGATTGTATTAAGTCGAACAATCGACCTGAAATTCCATAACCCTGAAGCTTGCGAAGAAGGCCGGCATGCCAAACCCTATCAAACACTTTGGAGATATCTAGAGCCACAGTACGAGCTTCTCAGTTATTATGAAGTGCTTGGTAAACAATTTCAGTTATGGCCGTAAGCCCATCAGCTGTTGAGCGGGCAAAGCGGAAACCATATTGCTTGTTGGAGAGCAGATTCTGGGATGTAAGTTGCATAACCACTTCGGCGTTGATTAAAGCTTCAAAGACATTACCGAAGAATGGTAAGAGACTGATAGGACGATAATTAGAAGTATCAGAAGGATCTCCAGAGTTCTTAAAGACAGGAACAACGGATGAGGACTTCCAACAGTTAGAAAAACAAGATTCATTGAGGCAG